GTCAGGCATAAACAAAAATAACTAAAGACCTTCTAATAGTGCAATAGAGATAAGTTCTGCTAGTTAAATATCAGCAAAGCTTCTGTTAGTAATAATCTTAATGTTCTGCCTGATAGTGAGTGAATATAAAGCAAAAATATTGGCTAATTCTCAAAGGATTCTACATCTGTTTCTACTTTTCAAATCTTCTCTCGCAAAGGCTGCAATGTGAATGCAACTTCAGGTTAACCTCAGCTTGAAAGGAGAATCTTGCTAAAATACACTTTATCATGAGACTTTTCAAGCAACAAGGGTGATATTACCAAATCTGGTACTTTTCCTTTCTGTGGATTTGGGATGGATTAAGCCAATAGAAAAGGGCTTTATCTGTGGGATGCTGACAGGTAAAATAAATCTATGCCATATCCCACGGCCACAATCAAGTTCTCAAAACTGGACAATAATGTGACTGAAGATATTTCACAAAATTGAAACCTGTAATGTTGCTCAAATTTCTTCATTTCTGAATTGAATGTATCATGTCAGTATTACATATAACTTTGGGTTTCTCGTGTTGATACCAGTACCTAATGTTTTAGTAAATAACATTTTAAAATTACATTCATATGCTTTATTGACATAATTCTTGACAGAATTTTAAGACATAAATTTAGAGAATATAAAAATTACATTTTGGATGAATCTTCTTCTTTTTTCTAATCTAATTTCTGATTAGGCTCATCAAAACATATGGAAATTAGGGGAATATTCTAGACAACACAGGCAAGAATGAAAATCAATAGAGACCTTAAATGTGACTGGCACAAAATACATTTGAGAGAACCGCACCCTTTTTGCCTGATATGTCTCACAGGTGCACACTTCTAAGTCACTAATATCATCAGTAGTTGAGATAATAACCATGACAATGATGCTCATGTCAACACTGATCCCGGTGCTAATGCAAATAATTATGGATATAGGTAATAAATAATAAAATAAAGAGAAATATGAAAATTCACATCAGTAATATTCAAAATAAAAATCATACAAATAAATAGATATGTAATCATACATACTGTGAACTATTACAGCAAATTCAAATATGAAATGTCTGCACTTCTTCACTTTGACCAACAGTACTATATAGAATGCAAATACCAATGCCTGACCTGCTGCAATATCTACTCTAGCCACTAAGGCTGCAATAAGTACTTTACATTACTTATTTCAGTGCACGTTTCCTTCCTCCTTAACAGAAAGTGCTTGGGTGGATATTACTGCTCCATAATGTGGAATACAAGCTCCAGTATAATGGGTTGGTCTGTAATATTGGCTGCAGCTCTGTGGATGACAGGAATCAACTCCATGTCAAGGTCATTCATACACGCAGCTGGCAATCTGTTCCCACTGCTCCCTGCTTCATAGCCAACCTGAAATGACACAGGCAAAATAAGCTCTTCTTTATACTTGGTTTCCTGGATCGCTATGAATCCAGAACCTTATACCACGATAGACAGAAGTCAGACTATTAGAAAATACCCAAGAGTACAAGACATCAGTACAACACATAGTAGATCTGTTAAAGCAAAATACTTACATTGTCTTGATGGACTGTGGCCCGTAGTCCAAGGCGTGAGTGTCCATTTAAATACAAGTCTGACAGGTGTGGCGTTAATGCCACACAAAAGGCTCTTGCTAAGACTTCTGAGAGACGACTCAAATTAACATCACTACTGTTGTTGGTTTCACCCTGTAATTATATTGCCAATACTTTAAAATAAGATAATAACAAAGCTTTAATAGTTTCATGTATGTGTCTGAAATATAAATCAATCACACAAATTTATTGGCATGAGAAAAGACAAGTCGTACCTGCATGATAAAAACTTCCGTCCATCTTATCAAGTGAGCATTACTAACATAGTCTGTGCCCGAATGAATCTTAACAGAAGGGATGCCGTCCATCTGTTTCTCATCCACTGGGCTCTTGATGCTGTAGAGGGGATTAACAATTCCTTTACTTCTTGGAAAAAAAAAAAGAAAAAAAAAAAAAATAGATACACTTAATCCTTGCGAAAATATCTATATGAGGAAAATAGATACACTTAATCCTTGCGAAAATATCTATATGAGGACATGATATTAACTTTTAAAAATATATCATTCAGAAGGAAAGGGGGAAAAAAAAAGGGAAAACAGTCATTAAGATATTATTACTTTTACCAGTCCACAATGTTGCTGGTAATCTTAATGATGTGAGTACAGCATGCAAGCTAGCATATTCAAGAAGGAGAATAGTCAGAGGATAACTATACAAATACAGACCAATATTATAGTAAATTTATATCATCATTCACCCTAATCCAAGAGAAATATAAAAATTCACATCAGTAATATTCAAAATAAAAATCATACAAATAAATAGATATGTAATCATACATACTGTGAACTATTACAGCAAATTCAAATATGAAATGTCTGCACTTCTTCACTTTGACCAACAGTACTATATAGAATGCAAATACCAATGCCTGACCTGCTGCAATATCTACTCTAGCCACTAAGGCTGCAATAAGTACTTTACATTACTTATTTCAGTGCACGTTTCCTTCCTCCTTAACAGAAAGTGCTTGGGTGGATATTACTGCTCCATAATGTGGAATACAAGCTCCAGTATAATGGGTTGGTCTGTAATATTGGCTGCAGCTCTGTGGATGACAGGAATCAACTCCATGTCAAGGTCATTCATACACGCAGCTGGCAATCTGTTCCCACTGCTCCCTGCTTCATAGCCAACCTGAAATGACACAGGCAAAATAAGCTCTTCTTTATACTTGGTTTCCTGGATCGCTATGAATCCAGAACCTTATACCACGATAGACAGAAGTCAGACTATTAGAAAATACCCAAGAGTACAAGACATCAGTACAACACATAGTAGATCCGTTAAAGCAAAATACTTACATTGTCTTGATGGACTGTGGCCCGTAGTCCAAGGCGTGAGTGTCCATTTAAATACAAGTCTGACAGGTGTGGCGTTAATGCCACACAAAAGGCTCTTGCTAAGACTTCTGAGAGACGACTCAAATTAACATCACTACTGTTGTTGGTTTCACCCTGTAATTATATTGCCAATACTTTAAAATAAGATAATAACAAAGCTTTAATAGTTTCATGTATGTGTCTGAAATATAAATCAATCACACAAATTTATAGGCATGAGAAAAGACAAGTCGTACCTGCATGATAAAAACTTCCGTCCATCTTATCAAGTGAGCATTACTAACATAGTCTGTGCCCGAATGAATCTTAACAGAAGGGATGCCGTCCATCTGTTTCTCATCCACTGGGCTCTTGATGCTGTAGAGGGGATTAACAATTCCTTTACTTCTTGGAAAAAAAAAAAGAAAAAAAAAAAAAAAAAAAAAAAAAAAAAAGAAAAAAAAAAAAAAATATATATTTATCTGAAATTGAAGTAATGACATAAATTCTCACTAATTACCCTGTATAATACATAATGAGATAAGTTCACTCATTTTAGTTTTGAAATGGCACTCTAACTATGCAAAGTTTGTCAAATTTAATGTGCCTGGAGATCACAATAACACTTACTAAAAAACAGAATAATTGTAAGCATACTCTTTGCTAGAGCATCAAACAAACACATATTACTTCACAGGAATTCTATCATCTGTTTCTTCTGGTAGAAATACTTTGTTATGAATAATGAAGTAATGTAGATTTTCCTTAGTTGATAAAAAAAAAAAAAAAAAAAAAAAAAAAAAAAAAAAAAAAAAAAAAAAAAAAAAAAAAAAAAAAAAAAAAAAAAAAAAAAAAAAAAAAAAAAAAAAAAAAAAAAAAAAAAAAAAAAAAAAAAAAAAAAAAAAAAAAAAAAAAAAAAAAAAAAAAAAAAAAAAAAAAAAAAAAAAAAAAAAAAAAAAAAAAAAAAAAAAAAAAAAAAAAAAAAAAAAAAAAAAAAAAAAAAAAAAAAAAAAAAAAAAAAAAAAAAAAAAAAAAAAAAAAAAAAAAAAAAAAAAAAAAAAAAAAAAAAAAAAAAAAAAAAAAAAAAAAAAAAAAAAAAAAAAAAAAAAAAAAAAAAAAAAAAAAAAAAAAAAAAAAAAAAAAAAAAAAAAAAAAAAAAAAAAAAAAAAAAAAAAAAAAAAAAAAAAAAAAAAAAAAAAAAAAAAAAAAAAAAAAAAAAAAAAAAAAAAAAAAAAAAAAAAAAAAAAAAAAAAAAAAAAAAAAAAAAAAAAAAAAAAAAAAAAAAAAAAAAAAAAAAAAAAAAAAAAAAAAAAAAAAAAAAAAAAAAAAAAAAAAAAAAAAAAAAAAAAAAAAAAAAAAAAAAAAAAAAAAAAAAAAAAAAAAAAAAAAAAAAAAAAAAAAAAAAAAAAAAAAAAAAAAAAAAAAAAAAAAAAAAAAAAAAAAAAAAAAAAAAAAAAAAAAAAAAAAAAAAAAAAAAAAAAAAAAAAAAAAAAAAAAAAAAAAAAAAAAAAAAAAAAAAAAAAAAAAAAAAAAAAAAAAAAAAAAAAAAAAAAAAAAAAAAAAAAAAAAAAAAAAAAAAAAAAAAAAAAAAAAAAAAAAAAAAAAAAAAAAAAAAAAAAAAAAAAAAAAAAAAAAAAAAAAAAAAAAAAAAAAAAAAAAAAAAAAAAAAAAAAAAATATATATTTATCTGAAATTGAAGTAATGACATAAATTCTCACTAATTACCCTGTATAATACATAATGAGATAAGTTCACTCATTTTAGTTTTGAAATGGCACTCTAACTATGCAAAGTTTGTCAAATTTAATGTGCCTGGAGATCACAATAACACTTACTAAAAAACAGAATAATTGTAAGCATACTCTTTGCTAGAGCATCAAACAAACACATATTACTTCACAGGAATTCTATCATCTGTTTCTTCTGGTAGAAATACTTTGTTATGAATAATGAAGTAATGTAGATTTTCCTTAGTTGATAGTTTGGTGAATAACTAAGACGAAAAGAATCAGCTGCAATCTTCCTTTATAATGCATACAACTCGATGGCTGAGACAGATAATGATTTATGGTTAAGAGTTTTCTTATCATACTAGTATAGTTAGCATATTCTAAAACACATGAACAGCAAACAAACCTTTTCGTGGTCGATTATGTATATTGATGGCTTGAGTGGAATAGTGTCCGTCATCATTTTCTATAGTGACTAAATGCGAGTCTGCTTGTGGACTGAAGTTAGCCCCCAGAGCAAGAACATGGTCATTGCTGTTACTTAAAGCTTTGGCCACCTTAGAAGAGACAAGGATTTAATTAATAGCCTACTATGGGGAAAGACATCAATCACAGAAACAGTTCCACAGAAAACAGGACAAGGAAGGGAATAAGTGATAAATAATGAAGTGAATGAGAGTGTGAGAAAGTGTGAACATTCTGAGTGAAAGGAGCATTATAGGGAAGTAGAGGAGAAGAGGAAAGGGAGAGAACACAAACTTTCTTATGAGATATAGTGAGGGAAATAAAAGTCATGAAAGAACAAATTAGTGAAGGACAGAAGGGGACAAATAATAAGACTTCTGAAGGGATGCATGAGATGGGACGAGATAAATAAATGGAGTGACAAGTGAATAAACGAGGAAAAAAATTATGCACGTATAAGCACGTAAATGAAAAATAATATTGACAATAATAATCCACAAAATATAACCGCATCCATTACCTGTTCATATCTATTCTTTGGAAAGAGCAGGCTGGTCTTCTTGTCTTCCATATGGATAACAAAACCTTCAATTGCAGGAACTGTGTAGGCATAATTTCTGAAATCCTGAAAGGAAAAGAAGGAATTATATCTACATGGAATAATAGTAACACCTAAAACTCAAAGAGCAATGTACTTTTCCCTGAATAATACATATGAGATAAGTTCACTCATTTTAGTTTTGAAAATGGCACTCTAACTATGCAAAGTTTGTCAAATTTAATGTGCCTGGAGATCACAATAACACTTACTAAAAAACAGAATAATTGTAAGCATACTCTTTGCTAGAGCATCAAACAAACACATATTACTTCACAGGAATTCTATCATCTGTTTCTTCTGGTAGAAATACTTTGTTATGAATAATGAAGTAATGTAGATTTTCCTTAGTTGATAGTTTGGTGAATAACTAAGACGAAAAGAATCAGCTGCAATCTTCCTTTATAATGCATACAACTCGATGGCTGAGACAGATAATGATTTATGGTTAAGAGTTTTCTTATCATACTAGTATAGTTAGCATATTCTAAAACACATGAACAGCAAACAAACCTTTTCGTGGTCGATTATGTATATTGATGGCTTGAGTGGAATAGTGTCCGTCATCATTTTCTATAGTGACTAAATGCGAGTCTGCTTGTGGACTGAAGTTAGCCCCCAGAGCAAGAACATGGTCATTGCTGTTACTTAAAGCTTTGGCCACCTTAGAAGAGACAAGGATTTAATTAATAGCCTACTATGGGGAAAGACATCAATCACAGAAACAGTTCCACAGAAAACAGGACAAGGAAGGGAATAAGTGATAAATAATGAAGTGAATGAGAGTGTGAGAAAGTGTGAACATTCTGAGTGAAAGGAGCATTATAGGGAAGTAGAGGAGAAGAGGAAAGGGAGAGAACACAAACTTTCTTATGAGATATAGTGAGGGAAATAAAAGTCATGAAAGAACAAATTAGTGAAGGACAGAAGGGGACAAATAATAAGACTTCTGAAGGGATGCATGAGATGGGACGAGATAAATAAATGGAGTGACAAGTGAATAAACGAGGAAAAAAATTATGCACGTATAAGCACGTAAATGAAAAATAATATTGACAATAATAATCCACAAAATATAACCGCATCCATTACCTGTTCATATCTATTCTTTGGAAAGAGCAGGCTGGTCTTCTTGTCTTCCATATGGATAACAAAACCTTCAATTGCAGGAACTGTGTAGGCATAATTTCTGAAATCCTGAAAGGAAAAGAAGGAATTATATCTACATGGAATAATAGTAACACCTAAAACTCAAAGAGCAATGTACTTTTCCCTTGAAAAATTAATGCAAAATCAATCTTAACTACAAACCCTCATCTTCATTTTCCCTCAAAATATGACATGTAAATAAATCTACTCTTAACCCATTCGTGACGGGTGAAGCCGATAGGCGTGAAAACAAACCGCACGATAGCTGGCGTGCAGCTGTGCACCGTGGCGGCGTGCCAAAGCGCGGCAAGCCAGTGATTCGGGCTGATGTACCGAACTCACGCACTCAAAGTCGGCACGCCGCTTTGTTTGCCAGAGCGTAGAGTTTTTTTTTTTTTTTTCTTCACCCATCACCATTGGGTTAAAGTAAATTTCAAATCATCAGTGTAAATGGCACCTTTAGTCCTTCACAAAATCATATCTTTGAGATGAAACCAGACCAAATGTCTTCAGGTCATAAACTTACCACTAACAAATTCATAATTGTGTGTCCAATCTCACAAAACACTGGCTTTCTGTTGCGAGTTGACACAAGAGGACAAGGATAGTATCGAAATTCAGCTCCCATACGCAGCATCAAACGCAGTGGGAAAACCTGGAAAAGAATGCAATATGAAAACCCAAAATAAATGGAAAACTATCATATATCAAGTGCAATCACTCTATAAAAAGAAAAAGTATTTTGCTGCATGTTTTCCAGTGTGTATAAAGCTAAGATATTTATCTGTACACCAATAATTTATACATAAATAACTTTTCACTTTTATAATACAATCAAACAAGTCTTCTTCAATATACAAAATTAACTAAAGATTCAGAGTGGTTCTAATTCCTCTTAATCCCCCCTTCCCCACTCTATATAAAGAATAAATATGATTATATTCCTTTTCCTACTCACTTTAGCCCAGGGTGTCTCCCACTTCTGAATAAGGACGGCAAATATATATGGAGAAGGTGGCAACACTAGGTTGCGCAGGCACTGGAATGTGGGCCGTATGTACAGGAAACCACCATGTTCCCGAGACCCTAAAAGTCCTTCTGGTTCAGTAAAGATGGTATGTCCTAGTTCAGTTACCAAGTTCCCTGGAAAAAGGAATAAATTAACTTTCTTGCAACATATCTATTACTATTGTGCAATGAAATATTCTTGATTTTTTTTTCCTTTTATTAAAACCCCATGCATTTTCTCTGAGAAATTATCCAACATACTATAATCAATGGCATGCAAACTTGCATGGTATGTAGTCTTTGAGAGATCAAATGAACAACTTTAAACATTCAAATCAATTATTTCATAAAACAAACATCACAGCAACATGAAGTCTGCATTTTAATGATAAAACATTGTGCATTTCAGCAACAAAACATCCTGACAAATCACAAAGGAATCTAATAACAAGACAAATATGATTACCTTGATTAGCCTGCTGATAGACAGTGTGGAAGAAGGCAAAGATGTCCTTCGGGGGGTGAGCCTCTCCAGGAGCCACTTCCAGAAGCACAACCATCTCCTCCTGACCCACCGTACACAGACCGCGGGTGGCAATGTTCCAGACCTCCACCCCTACACAACACTCAACTGCAAACATAAATTTGGGTTTAAATGATCGTCTTACCTTCATCTACTCTAAAAACTTGTTCAGCATATTCATAGATTTGTCAATGACACAAAGTAGTAACTGTAACACACTAAAGCACCACATACAAGTAAAACTAAAGCCATAGAATTTACAAAGAATTCATCCTTGACACATCCTCCAGCAAAGGCGGCCAGAGACACAACGCATACTTACGTTTTACCATCTTGACAAGGACTGTAAGATTCTTGTGAACAGCAAAGACTACCGGTGGTCCATCTCCCCTCATCTGCTCCTCCAACTTGCTGCTATCTGGGTTATCTTCAAAGACATACTCTGCAAAAATAAGGAATATCAATTAACCCCATCATCACCATTTTACCTACGAAAACAATAACTTTTGATAAAACTAGCCATAACTAAAAGGCAGCAAGAACACAGAAAATAACTTTCTACCAGGCCATAATAAACACACAACGAAATGCCACATTCAGGCACCCAGACCAGTTTTCACGCACTTCAAATGCTTACTCTGACATCAACATCTTATTTCAGCCTGTTATGGAACAAAGGTATAAAATATACAACAATTCTGATATAGCTTATAAGCCCCAGCCCTCACATAGCTTACAAGCCTCCAAGTTACAATGATCCTTAAAAAATATTCTAAAAAAATCATTAAGACTGCATGTTTTAGAAATGACTATAACTTTGGCAATTGTTCTAAAAAATAATAAAGGCTCCACGAATAATAAAACAAAAAATTATATCAATTGCTTATCAGTATTATCAAGAATAATCAAATGCTTCCAGCCAGTCATTAAATGTTAATATGATAAAAATATAAACAGTAACAACAATAACAAAAATGAAATCCTAACCACGCAATTATCAAAGACAAAATATTTGACAATAACACCAATATAACAGCCTGCCATCATCAATAATGCCAAACTTCATAAAAATCATTAGTATTCATATTCTAATTTGCATTATTCTTAAAACGAGACATGGCAATTTTATTTCAACCTTTTACACAGCTACTTTTCCAGGACCTAAAATAGAATTTTGTTTACTCCTCTGTTTAGACACACAATTACACATTATAACCCAATGGTACTTTGTGCATTACTGTAAGCTGTGGTTTTGTTTTATTCATTTTGTTTACATACATATGGCTTCACAAGTGCTTAATCAGTCCATTAATTACTAAGTCTACCTGTTCTCATCCATTTATTTATTATTATTATTTTTTTTATAATTTCAATAACTTTTATTATTGCTATCAACATTGTTATTACTCTCCTCACCATAGCAACAAACATATTTCAAGGAATATGATAAACAGATTTGGTCAGGTTGGTTAGTAATCAACTCCTTGGTGATTTAGTCATTCTGAACCATAAATATAAACAAAATTAATAAAAAATTTCCACAGTACCCTTAAATCCTTTATT